AAATATGCAACTCTCAGTATTGTAGTTTTATTTTTTGTACTTATTTTTAAAGCTGTTTTTTGTTGTGGTGGTAAAGTAGACATAAAATTTACCATCAAAATCTCTTTTCAGTATGTAGTTCAGTGGTATTAATACATTCACATTGTTGTGCAATCATCACCACCATCCATCTCTAGAATTTCATCTTCCCAATCAGAAAACGTGTCTCTATTATGCAATAACTCCCCATTTCCATTCCCAAACTCCTGACATCCACCATTCTGCTCTTTGTCTCTATGATTTGATCACTCTAAGTACTTAATATAAGTGGAATAAGAGGTATTTTCCTGGCTTTTTTTACTTACCATAATATCCTCAAAGTTCACCCATGATACAGTATAGCAGTTCTAAAAGTCTGCCATGTAGGACAAAAAGACAAAAGAGCAAAGTGCCATGGAATAGATCTCTCCTTGGAAAGTATTTTTGTTCCCTTTATTTTCACCAAAATTTTACTGGTTAGAAAAAGGGCTTTCAAAAGTGTTAACTATTTAGAAATATTATTTACTTTATAAAGAAGACAGTAAATTAATATAAAAAGAGCACATAATTGCTTAAGGTAACTCAACACATTGGCAACAAAGGCAGAAATAAAACCTATGTTTTCTGAACCTAATTCAACCCTCTTTTCTTGAATTAAGTAGCATTTTGTGAACCTGACCAAACATATAGTCTGAACAAATCTTTCCTCCCTAATTCAGTTTCAGTCTAGGTGATATTTTTCATGTCATCAAAGGGGGACTTGCTTTATCATTTTGAATATCTTCTAGATATCGTACAGTACAGTCATCTATCTTTCTATGTTTTATTAAATTTTACATCCTGAACACTTTATTCATACAGACACATTCAGTTTTGAAGGTACCAAAAGAGACACGGATTGGGCCCTTGAGAATCTTAACTTTGAAGAAAAGTTTACAGTCTTAATTCAATTTTACTGCCTATATAAGGCAATAGGCAAGTTACATACTGCTATGACCTTTCCAATGCTTAAAATAGATGGAATTGTTCTTTTCACCACAACTTTCAACAAAATTACATGTTCCTATTCTCAATCTTCAAAAACCCTCCATTCTATGGGTTTCCAAAGTAAAGTAAAATAATGAAAAAAAAAGTAAAATAAAAGATTAGAAAGACACTTAGGGAAAAAAAAAAGAAGAAGAAGAAAGGAACTGGGTGAATTGAAGCTCACAAGTCTACATTGCCAGTTCACCCCCTTATTACATGGTGGATGATCTGGTCTATAGTACATGCCCTGTAGTCATGCCTACCACCAACTATCTTGATATCCCTACCTCCTTTATTAAGGAGGATATTTTTGTCTCTACTTGTAAGGGAGTGGGGGGTAATATTTCTTATTTCACACTTTATGAAGAATCTTTCCCTGTCCCTCAAGTGTCTGGGTTATTCCTGGAAAATATTAGCATCTTAATCCATGTTCTCTCCTAACTCACCTTGAAACAGATATCCCTGTATTATGGACCAAAAAAGAAAGGGAAGCAAGCCCAATGGATATATGTGTTAAAGTCATTGAAAGGGAGCATAAGAATGAAAACTGTTTTCCCTGTGCATTGGAAACATGATTAAAGGAATGAAAGAAAGCCTTTGTTTTAAAAAAAAAATAAGCAACTATTCATTCAGCATAAAAGTTTGAGAATGTGCCCTATTTTAAACTATATTTTAAAATGATTTATTTGCCTGCCATAAAATGTTTTTGACTGCTTACATTTTGTCTAAACTTAACATAGTTGTGAATTCCTAAAATAACTGTGTACAATGCAATGGGTCATATATAACTTGAAAACATATCTTTCAGATTGACAAAACATTTACATTACCTTAGATCAGCTTCCAGTGTTTATAGTTGAAAAATTCTGCCTTAATATTTAAGAACATTGTGGTAATCACTCCAAAAATCTGATGATTGTTAATGTTTTTGTTTTAAGATATAACTTGTCAATATAGAAAATGGAAACCCCTCTGACATAGGGCACAAGACGTGGCACAATATTTTTAACTATCAACATTGCCCAGTTTAATTTTCACACAACTGGCCAAAATTTTTTGTATAGTTATTTATTTGACCTGTGAAGAAATATGCTTAATCTAAGCAAAAATGGCTTCCAACAAAAGTATAATAACAATTTTTATTGTTTGATGAATCTAACAATGGTTTATATTGCTTACTGTATTTCATAAAGTATTCACAAATATATTATGTTGTTTGATATTTGAAAAATTCCTTGAGGGAGAGAAAATAGAATTTTAATCATTGTGAAAATTAAGGAAATTAAATCTTAGAATTTTAGCATCTTGCCTATGTTCAGAGTGAAGTTAGTACACAAACTCATATTTCTACTCAGCTTAAAGGGTCAAGTAAATCCTTTTATATTGTCCTTTGTGAATCATGTTTTGGTTCCTAATATTTGCAATAAGTCCCCAAGTTTAAAAATATAGTGTCTGGATTTGAACTCAAGGCTTTTTCAGGTCTTTCCATTTGAAATTTCACCATTGCCTACTTTCCCTGGAAGGATCTAGTTCAACTAGAACACATTTGCTTGTTCTCCATGTATCAGAAACTGTTAAGCAAAGTGATTCATACTGTCTCTCCAATGGTGAGCAAATCATATCAATATCCCCTGGGATACTGGAAAAAAACACCAATTCTTGACTTTATTCTGAATCAGGCTAGGGATGTGGGCATGCGAGAAGAATTCCCAAGAACTGATCAGGAGCTGAGGTTACCAAAACTAAAATACATTTTAAAATTAAGAATTAAATTAAGAAAAGAAGTTAAGACTGCAAATACTATGGGAGGATAAAGCAGATCTTGATTTGGATCACAGGATTACCAGTGGGATTTAGGAGTGAATGAAGAAGTCCTGGTTGAATAACTTCAATGACACAGTCTTTACTTATGGTGGAGGCATCATAGTGCATGTAATAAGCTATGGTACAGGTAACTTCCTCCTCACAAAGGGTAAATAAATGCTGGTAGTGTATAATAAATAAGGAAATGGTCCTAAGGGCTTGGGCCACAGAAAGTATTTATATTAATGTACTAGGGCTAACAAGGAAATATCATAGATTGAGTATTTAAACAACAAATTTATTTTCTCATGGTTCTGGAGGTTAAAAGACCAAGATGAAAGTAACAAGCAAGTTTGTTTTCTTCCGAGGCCCCTCTCCTTAGTTTGCAGATTATTGCCCTCTTGCTGTCTCCTTACAGGGTCTTTCCTCTGAGCACACATGCCCTCGGGTCTCTCAATGTGTCTTCCTGTCCTCTTCTGGTAAAGACACAAAACAGATGGAATTTGGGCCCACCCTAATGGCCTCATTTCAACTTATCCACCACTCTAAGGTCTCAGTCTCCCAATACAGTCACATGCTAAGACACAGGACATTAGAGAACCAACACATGCATTTTAGGAGACACAATTCAGTCCCAAATAGCGTTTTATAAATATCAGTTGTTTGATGTTTTGCCCTATTCCCTACTTCCTCTCTTACTTAACTCACAGGTCCCAAATAACCCCTGTATCTGCTCAGTTCCATCTGCTGCCCAGAAGCCAGTTTCTTTAGTGAGTTTGGTAACCTGAGAACTTGTTCATGAGGATCAGTGTGTGTGTTGGAGCTTTTAGGTAAACATTTGCATAAACATGAAGGCAAGGGGCTTTAGTGTCTTTATAGGAGAGTGAGAGTGAGTAGGGTGAAAATTTCTGGTGTGTAGTCCAATTAAAAATGGAAATCTTTTCAGAGTTAGATGTTTGATGCTCTTCAAAATTATCACATGGATCACTCCCTGTGTGCTCATCTTAAACTTAGGTTTGGACCTAGATAATCTGTGGAATTTTATGAAAATTTGTGTGTTGTTTTCGTTTTTACTTTGTTTTATATTTTGGAAAATAAAATAATAAATATCACTGGAATATGACAATTTAAAATGTTACCACCTTTTTCCTTTGGAGAAAAGATTCATGCTTTATAATTCAATAGTACTTATTTGCTTTTAACGTTCACATTTTTCAAACATATGTGCCTGTGCTTTCTTTTGTTGCTATCAATGACAAAGAGTTTTACCTCATTGTCTGCTTAAATTCTCCTCAGTGAGAATTCACCAACAATACCACCACAACAACCAAAAAAGAAAAAGAAAAAAAAGGAAATATAAATGTAGTGTTTCATTTTGAGTCTGACATGGTGCGGGGTTGTACATTTCTTGTTAAATTATGATTGATTCCATAACTCATTCTGCTCTCTGTCAGAACCATTAGCCCTCACAGACCGTTTGTGAGGCATTTCAGAAACACTGTCCGGAAGATGAGCTTGTATGTAAACTCGATGGTCATGCCATATAGATGTTGTGGCAGAATGCACGGAGAACCATCAGCCAGCACTCTGAGGGAGGGAAGTTTAATCCTTCTTTCGGAGATCTGCTAGTCCAGGGAAATTCGGGATCTAAAACCTGAACTGAACTCGTGGGAAGGCTCTGGCCTATATATCTCCTCCTATGGCCAGACCCTGAGGGTCCCCGCAGCTCCACCCAAGTCAGTCTTGGTGGGGTATTAGGGTTAGGCCCTGCAGCTCTGGCCACGTTCAGTCAGAGTGGGGAAGTCAGGCTAGAGTTTTAACCAGATACTGAACTAGGTTGCAAGCTCCTCCCCCCATTTTTTTCTTTTCCTAAATGCCAATGGAAAATATACATTTTATCATTTTTCCCTTTTGAAAAATAAGTAAAATGAATCTTTCATGCAGTTTTATATCTTGTTTTGTATTTTCATAGAAATTTTCATTTAAAAATTTACAAATGAAAATGGAATTCAAAGCTTCAAGTTTATCATGAAGAATTAATGGATTAATAGCCATCATATCTCTTTTCCATAAGTTTTGTTAACAAGGGTGAAAGCTAAAATACCTATCAGATTGGCAATTGCTCTTGTTTTGGTCCATTGTTGGTATTTCAGGGATGAAGAACCGGGAGGCCAGCTGGTCACAGATAAGTTCCACATTGACTGGGACTCAGTGCTTGTCCACACAGATAACATCATCATTGCACGATTTGATGGCAGAGGAAGTGGATTCCAGGGCCTGAAAATTTTGCAGGAAATTCATCGAAGGTTAGGTTCCGTGGAAGTAAAGGACCACATAGCAGCTGTGAAGTAAGTGGCTGCCATATTCCTGTTATCTTCCCTAGGAAGGTCAGTGCTAGGTGAATGATATATAATGCAATGAATGTGGACTCCGATATTTTTATTTTAATTACTGAACAATTTTCCAAGTTCATCACATAGACTATTGCATTTTTTTCAAGTACCTTTCTTTCTTAGCACATAATAAAAGAATTATCATATTTCCTCTATGGAATTAGAATTCACTTTGGATGGATTCACTTTCATGAAAATGAAAGATCTTAATTATGCTGCTATAATTTTAATCATAATTCACAATGTCTATTATTTCTTTAGTTAATTAACAATTCTTGAGCTTTCATATATATAACTACCACACTGACATGAAAGAATGACCTGAGAAATCTAGTAGGTTCTTTAAAACTGTACATAGAAATAGGTGAAGATATTGTTAAAACGTAGATGTCAGTTCAGTGTGGCTGTAATGGGGCACAAAGATTTTAAATGGGACCCAAGGGTCTTAAATGGGACCCAAGGGTCTGCATTTGTTAAGCTATCAGGTGCTACCTAAATTACTGGGCCATCACTTTGACTGGCAAGATTTTGAAATATATGGCTTTTATACATCACTAGAGCTGTAGCCACAAAAGTATTTCTAGTTTGACTTGTGTTGTGTTTGTGCCAAGAATGAATTCCCATGTGCATTTAACTCAAGAAGATATAACTGTTTTCTTTTCTTTTTCACTGCAGATTTTTATTGGCACAACCATACATTGACTCCAATAGATTAAGCATTTTTGGAAAGGTAAACAGTAGAAAAATTGTGTGTGTTTGTATAATTACTTTCCTCAATTTACTTTAAGTTATGTATATCATTTTTTTTAGAATATAATGTTGTAATTACTAATTATATGCATTCAATAATGTATTAATTAATCAACTATTTATTAGTATCTAGTACCTGGTGTTAGAATAACAACAGGACATAAGAAAGCTCTGTTTTTATGAAGCTTACCTTCTAGGGGAGAAAAAAGATAGTAAACAAATAAATGAAAATTATTTTCATATACCAATAAATCTTATAAAAAATCAATGGAGAAAATTTAACTGCAGGAAAGACCAATGTTATTAGATTGAGTGTTCAGCTAAGAGCTCTCTGATTAAGTGATATTTAGGTTGAGACATAAATAATCAAAGGGAGGAAGTCATAGAAATCGCTTAAGGCACAGCAGGAACAGCAAGCTTTGGGAAGACGGACCTGGCTTAGAATCTGAAAGATGACCGAATGCATAATTATGTCTCCTGTATTTTCTGCACAGTACTTACTTCCTATATCAATAATTTTTATTTTGGATTCAAAATCATTGTTAGTTTAATAAAATCTAACTCATGTAGATATATATTGAGTTCCTTGGTTTTATATGTCACTGGGCTAGATGGTATAAGAATACAGAGATTAAAGGAAGAAGATCTTATACTATTCCAGACAAAGCAAATTCCTGGTGCTCATGGATTTAAATATGAAGTATTTTCTGCTATTCCTAAGTGAACCCAGAGACACATACCGTAAAATAATTGGTAATTTTCTGGGGGCATGCATGTCCTCCCCACTCCAGATATCTGCAGAGCACCATGTCTTTGTTGTATTTAACTCTGGTTGTAACATTCAAGGGACCATAAAAAACTTTTGGGAATAATAAATATCCCTATAATATAAATGCAAACAAACAAATGAAATGCCCTCATTAGTGGTAAAGGTATTAGTGATAAAAACAAAAAAAACAAAAAATGTCTTAGAAAGTGGTCATTTCAAAGAAATGGTAATTCTAGCTACATTAAAATGTGCAGATAGTGAAATCATGTCCCATGCTCCAACATGGATGAATCATGATGATATTGATCTTGGTGAAATGAGCCAGGCACAGCGGGATATACACTATGTGATTCCCTTTATGTGAGACAGCTAGAGTGGTCACATTCATGGAGGAAAAGAGTACAATTATGGTTGCCAGGGCCTAAGGGTCGGAGGAAAGGAGAGCAGTTGTTTAATGGGCATAGAATTTCAGATTCACAAGATGAACGCATCTGGACATCAGTTGCACAACAATATGAATACACTTGATACTACTGAACTGAGCATTTAAAAGTGCTTAAGATGGTAAATGTTATGCTACTTTTTACCCCATCCCCATGAAAGTGCATCTAGTAGAGATCATTATACCTTTAATGCTCATGATGTATGCAATAACTTACAAAGGACTTAGGGTTTCTGTATTTCGGCTCTCTATCCGCAGCACACAGAAACAAGCATCAAAGGCCAAATGAGTGGTAGGAGCATTCGTTAGTATGGAAATTTAGAGCAGATTCGGAAGTTTTAAACAGCCTCGTAAAGAACGTGGGACACGGACTGATGGGAAACATTATTCAGCAAATAGAGGGCAAGAAAAGAGTCTGATGCAGATGCCAGATTCAGGAAGGAGAACATATTTTGGGAACCTGAAATAAACTTACTATCATTGATTATAGGCAAACAAATAACTAGGAGAGAAAGGGTACGTGGCAGCACTAGGCCAGAAATTCACTATATTTGATCAACTTATTTCCTTTACATTCAGCAATATTTGATTGAATGTCCAACTCCTACTGTTCTTTTCTTTTGGGCATAAAATTTTTTACAGTCTATATATCTTCATCTGTATCTATATATCTATATCTATATCTATATCTATATCTATATCTATATCTATATCTATATCTATATCTATCTATATCTGCATTGACATCTACATTTAATTCATCTAACAGCTGGCTAACACCATCCATTATAATTAACTTTGCCAGCAGAAATGAAACTTAGAAGTTTTGAGGTACATTTTACTTTTAAAAAATATATATTTTATTGATTTTACACAAAGAGGAATTGAGAGGGATAGAGAGTTAGAAATGTCGAGGAGAGAGAAACATCTACCAGCTGCCTCTTGCACACCCCTCACTGGAATCGAAACTGGGACCTTTCAGTCCGCAGGCTGATGCTCTATCCACTGAGCCAATCGGTTTTGGCACATTTCACTTTTGATCTTCAGAATGCCATAATAGTAAACTGCAAGGAACTGGTCAATATTTTTTGTTTTGTGTATAATTTGTTCTAGCTCAACCTTTAAAATTTGGAAAGCATGTGAGCTAATTAAGACATAAAATTATAGCATTTTTAAGAATATTTTTATATCAAATGTAGATTTTTACACTAGCCTTACCTATTTTTTACTTATTGTAATGTTAATCTATAAACAGAAGCAAAATGATTAATAAATGTATACATTCTAAAACTATTGCATGCATATTAGAGGGCACAGAATGAGATAAACTTCAGCCAGAATATAAAAAATAATTCTGGGCATTATTTGATTGGCTGCTTCCTGCATGCCTCCTCTTACGGATTGAGCCTGCAACCCAGGCATGTGCCCTTGACTGGAATTGAACCCAGGACCCTTCAGTCCATAGGCTGATGCTCTACCCACTGAACCAAACCAGCTAGGGTTCCAATTTTATTTCAATATTCCACAAATATTCTATATGTTAGCAAGATTTTACACTGAGCAATGAATAAAAAGACAGCACAATTGAAACAGAGCAGTCTATACTGATTATTGACTCTTTTTTTTTTTTTACCTAAATCAAATGGAAAACTTCCTCTAATTGACTACAAAGGCCATATGATGGCCACCAGTTTTGATACTTTTTGGTAGATGTGAGCTGTTTTGAAATAAAATATATTTCTCTAATGTAGATTAAATTAAAGCATCATTTTTATTAGGTTCTTAAATGGTACAGAGAGAATCATGTTCAATAGCTTTCACTATCATTAAGTCTTAAAGAGTGTTTAGCTTCACTAGTCTCAAATTTTCATATTAAAAATAGTGAGATACAATTCTTTGTGTAGCAGCAATGATTTACAACCCTAGTGTCACTTCAGAACCACATAGTGAGCACCTCAGCCCATCACCACAGCTTGAATTGTTTTCAAGAACATTGATATATTTTTGGAAGGTCTGCTGGTCTAGGACATGTTGGCTGAAGCCAGGAAGATGTGCTGGTTTGTTCTTTATTATAATAATATGCTATAAGGACTTGCTATTCACAATGTGGACCAGCAGCATAAGCTATGCCTTGGAGTTTCTTGCCAAATCTTAGAATCAACACCAGATCTGCTGAATTCAAATATGCATTTTATTAAGATTTACAAGCACTTTGAATGAACATGTAAGTTGAGAAGCATTTTTCTAGGATCTGCTCCTTTAGAAGGCACCATTCTTATTTTCTGGAAAAAATTAACCTCTAAGAATCATATTAAACTGAGGTAAACACACACACAACAACAACAACAACAACAACATAAAAATATAACACCAATTTATTATTTTATGTTACTTATATGTGATATACAGTTTTGTGGAATGGAATACTCAGCTATTTTCTCAAAGTAATAAAGTATATATGTAAACAACTAAATCATAATCAGTGGAAGTTTGTTGGGCATTTGTGGAATTAGAACCATAAAAGTTATTACCTAAGACATAATCCTCTACAATGCCTTTCTCAAGGTGGAGATAGTACTGCTCTGTGGGAAGCACTTGAAGCCTCTTGGATGGCAATCTCTCTGACAATATTGTAGCAATGCCTCCCCTGGGTCCAGCACTCTTAAGGGCTAAACAGCTCTTTACTTGCTCTGCTTGACTCTCCATATCCTCTCAGATCTCTGAAAAGGAGCAGAAGATGCCACACCAGAATATGCCTTTTTAGCCAAAGGATAATTTTGAGCTAATTGTTTTTTTAAAAAAAACAGCAGATGCTTCTACTCTGAAAACAGACAGAGTAGAAGTTATTCTTTTATAAGAGATATTTATATTTATAAGAAAAATCACCATTTGTGTCTCCCTGTCTGTACCAGCAAGAGAAAGATGATTCTAAACTATAAGTGATTCTTAGCAATAGAGAAGGCACTGGCTTAAATCTACAAATAACAAACCCTATCCTTGTTTAGGGTTCTTTTCTGGGTCACTTCTTAGAACCAACCTCTCCCAACATCTTCTTTAATTGAAGATGGTATTTAAGGTGGTGGCCTGGGGTTTCTTACAGAATTACTCAGTGCCTCTTGTTAGTTCCCATATATACATGAGGTAAACAGGTTTAAAAAAACAAACACAAAACCAACAACAATAAAACTTGTGCTTGTTTCTCTCTTATTAATATCTGTTACAAGGCATTACAGCCAAGAATTAAAAAGGATTGCCGAAACCGGTTTGGCTCAGTTGTAGAGCTTCGGTCTGCGGACTGAAAGGTCCCAGGTTCAATTTCTGTCAAGGGCATGTACTTTGGTTTCGGGCACATCCCCGGTGGGGGTGTGCAAGAGGCAGCTGGTCGATGTTTCTCTCTCATCGACGTTTCTAGCTCTCTATCTCTCTCCCTTCCTCTCTGTAAAAAAAAATCAATAAAATATATTAAAAATAATTAAAAAGGATATAAAGAAATTATTTCCTTCCATTCCTCCCTTCCTTCCTTCCTTTCTTAATATTTTCATTGATTTTTAGATAGAGAGGAAGGGAGAGGGATAGAGAGGTGGAAACATCAATGAGAAGGGATTGAACACACAACCCAAGCATATGCACTGAGCAGGAATTGAACCAATAACCTCTTGGTTACACTTGCTGGGCTCCACTTCTTTCTTTAGATGTGTTAGCACAATTAAGCCTGGTACTTTTAAATTTTGCTAACCAACAGCTATTTTTCTCTCTCTCAAAGAGACTGAGCAGAAACACTCTTGATGGTTTCACTCTATAAAGTATAATTTTATGTCACTTAGCTCCTTATTTTGGGGGAAGCTTTGCTCAAGCTTCTGGGTGCTATGTGAATATACAAGTTAAAAAATGATATATGCGGGGATGAAAAATAATTTATGCTTTACCCTTTTGAGTTCTTGGCTGAGATACTCTTTAATAAAAGACAGATTAAGAAGAGAAAAATAAAAATATGTTTATTGACATTTATACCTCATGTCTATATGGAAGATACCCAGGGAAAAAATGAATATGTTTCTGAGGTGGCTTAGAATTCAGGCTTAATACCAGGGGGGTTTTTTGTTTGTTTTGTTTTTTTAATATTGTTTTTATTTATTTCAGAGAGAGAAAGGGAAAGAGAGGAATAGAAACATCAATGATGGAGAGAATCATTGATCTGCTGCCTCCTGCACACTGCCTCCTGGGGATAGAGCCCACAACAAGGGCATGTGTCCTGACTTGAAATCCAACTGTGAACTCTTAGTTGATTTATGGGTCCGTGCTCAACCACTGAGGCACAGCAACCAGACCTAAATTACCATCTTCAAAGGGAAACAAGAGAAGATATAGGTCCTTTAGGAGAGATAAATGACTGTTAAGAAAGAAGAATAGGTCCAAAACTGGTTTGGCTCAGTGGATAGAGTGTTGGTCTGCGAACTGAAAAGTCCCAGGTTCTATTCCGATCAAGGACATGTGCATTGGTTGTGGGCACATCCCCTGTAAGGGATGTGTAGGAGGCAGCTGGTCGATGTTTCTCTCTCATCTTTGTGTCTAGCTCTCTATCCCTCTCCCTTCCTCTTTGTAAAAAATCAATAAAATATATATTAAAAAAAGAAAGAAGAATAGGACATTAGCAGAATAGATGGGAGATGTAGTTTGTGGCAATTTTTTTTTCTGTCAACTTCTATTCTCTTTTATGACAAGAGTTAGCTTCCATGATTGATAAAATTCCTGGGAAAGAATCTATAGCAATAGAGTTCCTGTTGGAAGGCCTGTTTTTATGGGAGTTCAGAGAAATCCTCTCCCTTCATTTGTTGTTTTTTAAGTACCTCTAGCTCAAAATAATCATATGCTGTTGAGGAACATTTTGGAGTGGAATATTCTGCTACTCTTTACATACATTATCTTTGCCATTTCATTAATGTCAAACTGCATTTTATATTTTTTTATGTACCAATACTTAAATGATGTTTCAAATAAGCATAAATTAAATTCTTTACCTATTTTATCAAGTGTTTAGTGAGAATAGATTACTTTAGCACTAAACCACACTAGAATCATCTAGAATTCTTTCAAAAGTTGACCTCATCATGAACCAATTGCACCAGAATTCCTAGTGCTAAGACATGGGTGTTAATATTTTTTTTTTCAATATCTCCTAGGATACTCTAAGTACAATAAGATATGGAACATTGCCCAGAGCACAGATTAAAATTGATTTCTAAAATTAATAGACAATTCCCTTAGCCTAGTAATACTGTAATTGTGAAAATCTCCTTTGGATCTTTTCTGGTCAACTCATGCACTACAAAAGAAAGTTGAGAATCTTGGTTTATTTTTTAAGAATTTATAAATAAATCGGTTCAAAAAATGTCAAGAGGATATTTAAAATGAAATTTAAACAATAATCCAACTCATCTAAGTAGCAACATTATTTAATATATCTTATTTCTTTCAAATATTTAGTTGCATGAAATTGAAAGCAGAATATATATTCATTATTTATTTTTATTTTTAAAAATGATTTAAAATTGATTTTTAGAGAGAGAGGAAGGGAGAGGGATTGAAACATAAATGAAAGATAAATATCAACCTTGACCAGTTGCCTCCTGGACACCCCCTGCTGGGGATGGAGCACCCAACCCTGGTATGTGCCCTGATGAGGAATTGTACTGGTGACTTCTTGGTACATGGGTGGATGCTCAACTACTGAGCCACACTGTCTGGGTCAGAATCTATATGAATGACAGTAGATTTTAAATGTTTAATTATGCTTTCTTAATTTGACATAGCCATCATCATTATTAAATGATCTACTATATATATATATATAACCTTATTAAATCATATATCATATTAGGTTTCATATATATATACTAAAGGGCTGGTACATGGATTAGTAAACATTAAAGGAAATTAATTAGAAAGTGGCTGGCAGAATACAACTGGGTGAGATAGGACAGACATGCCCTGGAGTCAACCTCCCACAGTCCCTCTCCAGCTGGGGCTTGAAGGGAGTCTGCTGAGTGAATGGGGTCCCTCTGGCAGGTGGGGTACCTCGGCCAGGCCTGCAGGAATTGGGCAGAAACTGGCAGTCTGACATCCCCAAAGGAGTCCCAGAGTACAAGAGGACACTCTGCAAAGTTACTGTTGCTCAGCAGCTCCTGCGCTGAGTGTCTGCCCCCTGGTGGTCAGTGCATGTCATACCTACCAGCTGGTAGCTTAGCCTTTTATATATATAGATATCTGGCTTGCCTAAAAATGATATATGATTTAATAAGTGCTGTATTTGCATAGCTTCAATTTATTTTGGGCAGTTTACAAATATTTGGTATGAAATTAAAGAGCAAACCTTTGACACTTGGTGGTATTTGATAAATTTTATATTTTACCTAAAATTATTAAAATAATGTTCTATAAAAATTTAAACAACTCTTTTCAAAATTTTATGTGTACAAAGTGGTCTTTGTATTATTAGGGAGATTTGGGTATCCATTTTCCCCTGGGTCTGGGGCTGCTTTTCTTATCATTTTTCAAAAAAAATTTTTTTCTGATACTCAGGAGAGTGAATGATATTTTTAGTGTGTGGAATTATATCCCTGTGTTTCCAAAGTCCCATTTCCTTCAGCTTAGTTCTGGAAGAAATGTAGAGCTGAAAGCAGAGCTGGTGTCCAGAGTTTTCATCCTATGGTGCAACTGGGTCCCGTTCCACATCAGGCTAGTAGTTGCAGTCTATTAGTCCATTGTCTGTGAAGGACACATGACCATGGGCCATGTGGGAAAATGTATAGAGTGCAACATGCCAAGAACACAAAAGCACAAGAGAAACCTAGAGCCCAAGAGAGGTCATTGCTAGGGGATTAAATATCTGAAATTTTGCACCCTTGAAATGGCCATGCCTATTCTGGTCAATGACCTGTTCCCAAGTGTGACTGACAGACAAGTACCTTCCCTCTGTCACCCCAGTTTTACTGGGCATGTGCCTATCTCCTCTCCATTGAAATCTTAGGGAGTTTAACTTTATAGCATCCTGGTGAAGCTGCCCAAATAACATGCCCACAATATTTGGTCTTCCTTTTGCTCCTTTCCTATTATCAATAAATAGATTAGTAGCAATTGTATTATCAGTATACTAGTGGCCTGGTGCGTGAATTCATGAACTAGTGGAGTCTCTCAGCCTGGCCTGTGAGATTGGGCCAAAATCGCTCTCCAACATCGCCCAAGGGGTCTGGGATTGTGAGAGGGTGGAGGCCTGGCCAAGGGACCCTACTGGTGCATGATTGGGGCCAAGGAGGGATGTGGAAGATTGGTCAGCCAGGGAGGGACTGCAGAAGGGCTTCAGCTGTCCAGTCTTTTCATTCAGTCCCAATCAGCTGGACTCCAGCAGCAAGCTAACCTACCAGCCAGAGTGTCTGCCCCTGGTCATCAGTGCACATCATAGGGAGTGGTTGAGTGGCCTTAGCATATCATTAGCATATTACACTTTATTGGTTGAGCAGACATTACGCTTTGATTGGTTGAACGGCTGACTGGGTGACTGGACACTTAGCATATTAGGCTTTTATTATATAGAAGTCTTTGCTCACGTTTGGGACATAATGAGGCATTGTGATGTGTAGATCATCAAACACAGTGACTGAAGTTAAAAGTATCTACAAGAACCAAAACCGGTTTGACTCAGTGGGTAGAATGTCGGCATGTAGACGGAAAGGTCTCAGGTTCGATTCCAGTCAAGGGCATGTACCTTGGTTGTGAGCACATCCCCAGTAAGGAGTGTGCAAGAGGCAGCTGATCGATGATTCTCTCTCATTGATGTTTCTAACTCTATCCCTCTCTCTTCCTCTCTGTAAAAATTCAATAAAATACATTTTTTTAAAAATTTAAAAAAGCATCTACAAGAATTATATAAATATAATTTTTTTGTTCTTGCCAGGGGTATGGTGGCTATGTTGCATCAATGATCTTAAAATCAGATGAAAAGCTTTTTAAATGTGGATCAGTAATTGCACCCATCACTGACTTGAAGTTGTATGGTGAGTACTTCCTATAAAATGACCTAATACAATGTATTCATTTATAGAAAACAAAATCCTAATGCAGAAGAGCTCAATTGAGTTCATTTATCATGTGTTATCAAAAATGTTTACAGCTGTCTCTCTGATCTAATCAGTTTTACTGGACTATGATAATTAAATATGAAATATAGGAATTGAATAATGAAATATTCTATTTCAATTTATTTTAGTTTATTCTTAAATTTCTGTTTTCTTGGGTGACAGCTTCAGCTTTTTCTGAAAGATACCTCGGTATGCCATCTAAAGAAGAAAGCACATACCAGGTAACTAATGTAAGAAATAATTAAGAAAGAAAAGTACTTCTGTTCTAAAAACTCAGTAAAAATGTAAGTACAGGTAGAAATATATATTCAGATGTTTTTGTTTCCCTTTGTAGGCATCAAGTGTACTACATAATATCCATGGCTTAAAAGAAGAAAATATATTAATTATTCATGGGACTGCTGACAGTAAGTATTATTTTGCTGCTAGTAGTCATTGATGGAGTCTGAACTTGAACAAAGGGGTACATTCAATGACTTGCTTTAAGGGGATCCTATAAACCTACTAAAGAAGAAAGCAGAGTGGCAGAGAATCTGGTGCATGATGGGAAGTGGTTAAAGGGAACTCAGGACTAATAATAGAGGAAGATGTGAACCTCAATGGCAGCACTGTGCAATAAAATATTCTGGATGGTAGAAATGTTCAACCATTGCTATTAAACACACTAGTCACTGGCCACATGTGGTTCATAAGTGTTTGTTCATAAGCATGTGTTTAGAATGATTAAAAACTGAATTTTTAATTTTAGTTAATTTTACTTAATTTAAGGGCTAGTGACTACTTCTATGGTGTTATTTAGCATTCCTCAAAAGGACACTAGCCTAGAAAATAATAGGACAGCACTGAGATATATTCTGAGGAGGCTACCCACTTAAATTGTTAAAAACAGAACAAAAAAAACCAAACACGTTCATATCACCTCTCATTTGTCACATTAAATAACGGAAATGTATGTAATTGATATTACTAGTAATTAATATTTTATAGCCACATAAAGAACTTATATATGCTTTTTATTATTCTGTCTAAAACTTTACAACAGAGATATAACTATCCATAGCTCCATTCAGAGTTGAGAAAAAAACAACACACCAATTTCAAGGAGGAAACTAATTTATTTAGGGCTACCTGGCAAGTGAGCAAGGATAGTCAAAGCCTTGAGTTAATAATTTCTAACTCTTGAACTGTTTTTCTTGGTTCAACCTGCCTTGCCTAAGTATTTTTACTGCATTATGAATAGCATATAACTAAAAAAGAATTATAGCAAAGATCATACCATGTCTTGAGTTTAACTTTCAAGCATGTCAAGCCATGGTTAAATTAGGGTTCAGCTCAGTATAGTATCTATACTAATAAAAGGGTAATATGCTAATTAGACCAACACTTTCCTGATGACCTTCCAGGCATTCTTCCTGACAAAGCCGGCCTGGAACAAGCTGCCTGCCCCGCGGTCCTGGGCGTCAGCTCCTTTGGCTGTGGCCCTGGAGAGGGAGAAGACTGCCCCTGGTCCTGGGTGTCCAGTCGAAGCCAGCCTGGGTCCTAGGTGCCTGTAGCCAGCCAAAGGGAGGGAAGCCCAGGTCCCATGTGACTGCTGCTGGCTAGAGGAGGGAATCCTGGGTAATGGGTGTGGGGCTGAGGCTGTTCAGGGAGATTAGGTCAGCGGGAGAGCAGATAGGGATGGTCAGGCAGGCAGAGGAGGTTAAGGGCGATCAGGCAGGCAGTCAGGCAAGCAGTTAGAAGCCAGTGGTCCCAAATTGAAAGAGGCAGTCGGACATCCCCTGATGGGTCCTGCATTGATTCATCTAGGTATTTCCTCTCAAAGAGGGAAAACTTAACTCTCCTTCCTACTCCCTTTTGGAGCTTAAAATTACTGGTTTGTTTAAGAGCACTGTATAGAAAGGGGAGAAAAAGTAACTTTAGAATACAGACACTTGGCAAATACCATTCAGCCAGGTGGTCAAGTTGAATAACAACAGTGACGAGTCACTTTGATAGCATGCACCATGTATATAATTTAATTTAAAAAAAACCACATACTCTCAGTCTAACAATGAGGGGAAAAAATGGACAAACTCAAAAGAAGGACATGCTATCAAATATCTCAGTCTGTCAAAGTCACCAAAAATGAAGTCTGAAAAAGTCTGATAGACCAAAAAATCTTAAAGAGACATGATGTTTAAATGCTTCTAAGTTGTGTTAAATGTACCAGAAAGAATATGAAATATTAGTACTAAGGGAACTGGGCAAGGTATATACAAGAATTCTTAGTACTATCTTTGTAACGTTTCTGAAAATCTAGAACTACTATAAAAATTAAAAAAAAAATGTATCCCCCAAACTTACATAATACCTGACCTGGGTTAGGTGAAACATAAAAGAGAACTTAAACATTCTGAAGGACATTAGACCTTTGTTCTAAGGTGTTAAGATATTATATGAATAAAAATGATAATAACAATAAGTTACAATTATTAAGTACTGACTATATGTCACTTTGGAACCACTCCAGAGGCACTTTATGGTCAAGGCCAATTAAAGCACAGAGGCCTTGTTGTCAATACACCGGACTCTCCAAGGTTACTCTGTGCCTAGGCTAAGATACCATACACAGCTGCAATACCACAGCGATCTCACAGTATGCTCTGCCCTTCTATAGCCAAATGATTTATGTCACTGTTGGCAACTAGCCTTTTTTATCTCTGGAGTAAAATATAGTTGTTATTGACCAGCTAGTGTGAGAAGCGGAGGTGGTTGGCACAGAGAATGTAGCCCCTCTGTGTGCAGGAGAGAGGAGAGACCAGAGGAGCTGAGAGCTGGAATTCATAGAGAGCTCAAATACAACTACCATGTTAACCAACTAGTGTGAGCTGGGCAGGAGAGACGGGAGAAGCTGCTGAGCCAGAGAGTTTAGATACCGCTATCATGTAAGGTAGTGAATTTAGAATCAGCATGTGGCTGCTCAGATAATAGAGATTAATGCTACTGTGTAGGAATGATATGTATTTACCAGCCTATGTATGGCTGCCTATATGGGATTGCTGTGAAGGACTGTCTTGTCTGATGATTCTGTGGCCACTGGCTTCTGCAGTAAAAACTCAATCTTATACACCCACCACTTCTCATGGCTTCTGTCTACAACCTGATATCCAAGAAGGTCCAGCCCCTCGGAAGAGGGGCTCGGACCCAACAGTTAGCATAGTGAGCAGAGTTTGAGAGGAAACCTGCTCTGGCATATTCGGGAAGAATTTGTAGAAATACATGAATTCAGAGCAACTCAGAGCAGCAGTGCCGAGCAGAGCTCTTGCAGTCACTGATGATCACAAAATGTGCCAAAAACTTTTAATTTCATCTTACCTGTTTTTCCCCAAAATGCTGTAGTTATTATCACTTTTCTTATTGAAAAAATTGGGGAAATAAATATTATGAAATTTATATAACTTGCTGAAAATCACTCAAGTATCAATTCGTAGAAAGAGGATTTGAATTCAACATTGAGAATCTAACTTATCTTGCTCTGAAGCTTCAATTGCAGCAATCCTATCTAATAAAGAGGAAATATGCTAATTGGGCCTCACACAATTGCAAAGATGGTGACACCCATAGCAAATGAGGAGGGATTATACTAATTGCCTTGCCTTCAAAGATGGCAGCACCCACAGCCATAATATGGTGGCACCCAGTCCTCTCGGCCCTTCTGGGGCAGCAGTTGCAAGGCCAGGCCAGGCCTGCCTCCGTCCACTCAGCCCCCCAGCTGCTCAGGGTTTGCCTGAGGTACAGGCAAGCCTTGGATGGTGGCTGCCCAGCTGAGCCTGGTTACCTGAGGCTCAGGTAACCAGGTCTGGCCTAGGCATGCACTGCCAGCAGTGGCAGCAGCAGAGGTATGATGGGGTGTCACTTTCCCTGATCCCTGTGTCACCTCCTGCCTCTGAGGGCTCCCAGACTGAGAGGAGGCAGGCCAGGCTGAGGGACCCTCCCTCCCTCCAGTGCATGAATTTTCATGCACCAGGCCTCTAGTAAATAATACTCAGGATTAATGTTTTTTTACATCTAGCAATCACTGTTGTAGTTACTGAGATAAATTATCATTCTTGACTGACTCAGTCATGCCTAGTGCCTTGCCTGTCTGATAAAATGTAAGCAGAGATTTAGCAATAATCATATTAAAGCAAATGCACCATGCACACAGACACACACTCACATACACTACACATGCACACTCCCTATGGGTTTGGTGGCTCAGTCATTAACATTATAATAAACCATTATTAATATTTTCTTCATAAATTACCAGCAGATTAGTTCAATCAGTCTATTAGACCTTAAATATCCCTGTTAAGTTTTAGGAAGGGGTCAAATGACAAATATCAACAAGCTTCACACTAGAAACTGAACAGGAAAACAATCCATTTTGAAAATTGATCTATATCAGTGGTTGGCAAACTGAGGCTCGCAAACCACATGCTGCTTTTTGGCACCTTGAGTGTGGCTCTTCCACAAATACGATGTGTGGGCGTGCACATACAGGGTGATTGAAACTTCATGGTCCAGGTGCAGAAGTTGGTTTTTGGCTCTCAAAAAAATTTTTAATCATTGTACTGTTGATATTTGGCTCTGGTGACTAATGAGTTTGCCATCCACTGATCTATACTAATAAAAGGGTAATATGCTTATTAGACCAGATAGACCAGACATCTTCCGGTTGTCTGGTCCTCCTTCTGGACAAAGCCACGGTGGCAGGGGCTGAGGCAGACGTACAATAGTTAGGGGTGATCAGGCCAGCATGGGAGGGCAATTAGGGGCAATCAGGCCAGCAGGCAGAATGGTTAGGGGAGATCAGGCAGGCAGGCAGAGGTGGTTAGGGGTGATCAGACAGGCAGGCAGGCAGATGAGCAATTAGGAGCCAGTGGTCCCAGATTGCAAGAGGGTGCAGGCTGGGCTGGGGGATCTCCCCACCATGAATTTCGTGCACCAGACCTCTAGTTTATACATGTATCTTTCAACTTTATCCATACCAGGAAATGGTGGATTCTTTCCAAAACATTATCCTAAAGTAAATTAAGTTGGTTTTACCTGAGCTATTGCTCCTCTTCATTAGGATTTCTAGTAGCTTAAATTACAGAGCAAGTCATAAACTTCTTCAAAGATGACATGATCATTCCCCACTAAGTACAATAGGAACATGTTGGAAAGACCTTGGGTAGATTTTAAAGAGATTGAAATGACCATTAGGGAACTTTTATTTTCTGCTATGCAGTAATATTGCTCAGTATCACAGAATTAGAGCTATGAAGGATCTTCAACTATTTATAATCCTGCCTCATTTTACAAAGACAGGTTAAAAATGGTAGCTTAAAAATTATTTACAGAAATTTGAAGAGCTGCACAATGTGGGAATGAACAGCACAGACAGCATGTGAGCAAAGTGCTGTACAGAGATCTGAGTGATTCCTCCAAGCGTTCAAAGCTGGTGAGGCCAGGCTACTACTCTACCTGGCATGCTGTGCTGCTTACTTCAGTTTTGGACCTTGAGGGTCAGATAGAAGGAAAGGGGAGAACCAGCATGATCCGCATTAAATATTTACCTTTTGAATAAGGAGATATGTACTCGCCTCAACATGGAGTATTATTTTCTAATTTAAAATAAAACTGAATGCCAGTATCTCACTGAGATTGGGCCTTGATCATCAGAAAGAAATAGAAACTGGTTTTGCTGTATTATTATCTATGTTAAAATTCTTACAATGGTATAAAATGTGAACAATTAAAAATGATAAATGATAACCAATAAAGTAAATCTAACCAACATCTGTATAATAAGTAGTAGCTCCTGTTTCAGTTTATTTTTTTATAACGTGAAGCTCACAGTTTTACCATCATGGTATCCACTGGCTTTCTACTTAAAGCAAGGTGTCTTTTAAATGTGCAATGTATGTAAAGTAAAATATTTAATTGTTTTTGGGAAAAACGACATAAAAAATGTTCTTATCGTTATAAACATATTTCTTCAAATATCACAATTTAATTTCTTTCAGCAAAAGTTCATTTCCAGCACTCAGCAGAATTAATAAAACACCTAATAAAGGCTGAAGTGAATTATACTATGCAGGTAAGCCACTTTTTCAGGAGCTGTGCTGATGTGATTTCTTTCCTAGGTTTTTTAGTTGCGAGATCAGAACACAACTTCTGTGCTGCTCCATCCCCCCTGCTATTAGTTTTACTGTGTTTGTAGCTATCAAAGAGTGATTTATTTTTTCTTAAATATGCTGAGAATTTGGATCAGCTCCTGCTTTACAGTTGTGTAATAGTCTTATGCAATGTCTTTCTCCTAAGACTTCTATTCATGCTGCTCTCGGAGGGATACACAAGTGGGATTTCTCTATTGGTGGGGGAAGGGAGTTTTTGGGGCGCTGCTGAAATGAGCACTTTCAGAAGCCCTCATGGGAGAGCAAGGTGCCTTAGAAGTCTTCGTTTGCGTCGATTACATTCCTCAGTTTCCATCAAGCCAGTCCTGCAAGAGGGCAGTTGTGGGGTCAACAGAGCCAAAAGCAAACCCAGTGTCCAGAACTTCTGTCCATGTTGCAGCGAGCCCAGGTCTGCGTCCAGGCTAATTAAAGCCCATCAGTCCATTGTGTGGGCCACGTGGGCAATTCAGGGGAATGTGCCGCCTGCAACAGTAGTTCCAAGAGTGAGGGAACTCCCTCTGTTCAGACGTTTAAATATTCAGATTCCATGCCCCTGCAGTGGCCATGCCTATACCTGCTAATTACCTATTCCCAGGTGTGACTGGACAGATATGTAAGCATCTTCTTGAGTCACTCAGACCTTATTGGGCATGAGTCCAAACTGCCTTTGGCCAGTCCCTCCCCCCATCAATCTGTAGAGAACAGACTTGGAGAGTGCTAAAGTACAGCTTTATGTATAAATGACATGCCTTATTACTAGTCTCCACTTTACTCCTTTCCTGTTAATAGTAACTAGACCATTACGGTGGCATCAATATCACTAATGAATTATTTTAAAATGATAATTCTCTTTCTCCCAGTCTCTTTGTCTTTTCTTCATTTTTCATCATTCTCATAACTAAAAATTTGGGAAGGGGGGTGGTTTCAGTAAATGTTATGAGAAAAAAGGAGAGATTAAAAAACCATTTAGATCTGTGCCTTCAACCATATTTAATAAATATTTATAGAGAACTTTACAAAAGTCATTAAGCTAGATAGGTCAATAAGACATACTTTATACGACCAAGGGACTTTCAGCCTGATGGAGGAGTTAGAGGAAATAAAACTAATTGTAATTTTTCAACATTTGGGAGAACTAAAAGTAGCTCAACATATTGAAAACCCAGGAACCAGTGTTAGGATGATGACAGGGTAAGGGGAATAGGTAAACAGATGGTGGGTCATGCCATTAGCATTCTGAAAAGAGTATGTGGCTTTACCCAGAGGGCAACAAGGCACCATTTAAGAACGTTTTACTCAGGAATTAATGTCACAACCTTTGTATTTGTATTTGGGGGTGGGGGAGTCACTAATGTCTTTTATGTTGTCAAAGTAAAAATTGCATTGCACAAGATTAAACAAACAAGGAGGACTTTATTTAAGACTATTGCAATAAGGGAGAGAGACTAAATTCAACTCTGTTGCAATAAAGGGCTGAGAAAGCTTTGAAGCTAGGGAGGAAGAACTCATAGTGCACTTGCATTTGGCTTTACCAAAAGGTAATGTAAACTTTCTTGTATCTTTATGACAAATCCCTTCCTCAGAGACTGCAAGATAGGGGTGCTTTCTCCTTCAGTGCTTATATGTCAAAGAGATGGCTTTCAGTCCTTGAGAAAGACCTTCCCTGGATTGTAAAACTGGCAATAAACAGAAAGAGCATTTACATACATTTCAAAGGGACAGAGAATGAATTTATAATTTCAAGTTTACTAAAGTAAATAGGTAAGAAAAGGGAGGTCAGGAGCTTATACTTATGAAGAAACTGTCTAATTTCCCCCCAAATAAATCTCAATTTAAATACATAAAAATTGGATGTTGTTTTAAATGTTGATTATGATATGATTATAATAAAAAGGAAGATTTTTGATATAAAGAACTCAGAGTGTAATTAGTTGAGATTTGGTTAGATATTATTACCTGAAGATTTTTTTTTGCCATTTGATGAAAAAGAATGGGTTCTGAGGGACAATACTTGCTCTGGTAACTTTAAATATCCTTTCTCCTCAACACCTTAGGTCTATCCAGATGAAGATCATAGCATATCTGAGAAGAGCAAGTATCATCTCTACAGCACAATCCTCAGATTCTTCAGTAATTGCTTAAAGGAAGAAATACCCATGATACCACAGGAACCAGAAGAAGAAGAAGATGAATAATGGACTCTATTTATATAGAACTAAGGGGATACTGAGGCTCAATGAAATCGAACCAAGAGACTGTAATATTGTAGATGCTGCAGAATTCCAAGGGCAGCTTCAGGAGATGACACTGGAACAGCACACTCAGAGACAATAAACTAGAATTTGAATACAGATGTCCAAGTCTACTGTTTTGCCAAGGGTGCAGAACCTGTTTCTTGTGAAAGGAAGGTCAAATGGTTGGTTTCTTAGGAGAAATTAGTTTTGCATTACAGTAGGAATAGTGCATGTTTTTTGTTTTGTTTTTTCCTGTTATGCCCTCTTTGTTCTGTAACTAGTTGTTCTCATTTTAATTTTAATGGCCACCATCTTTGCATACGATGCACAACTTATCAGTATTACAGTCCCTTATCTTGGTGGCTGAGCTGCAGCCTAACACTTGACTCTACCTTTACAATAAGTGCAATTCCTTTATTGCCTATTAGTATGCTTAAGAAAATATTCAGTTAATAAAAAGAGGCTATTTTACGTAATTTCTGTTTACAAAAAAAAAGCATTGTTAAATGGGTCAAAGGTCATGTAGAAATATGGATTTTAGCACCTTCTGAAGTTCAGCCAATTACCAGTAGATATGATATTGTTAAACCAACATACGAGTGTGTGTTGAACAATATATATATACACACTTGTGCATATGCAATCAATAAATTTATCTTTACATGCTATTCATGCTACAGAGGATAAACTAGAAGAAATGCTCTTTTACAGGCTGTAATGGAAGCTTTGTTTAATGAGCCAAATATGATGAAACTTTTTTTTTTTTTCAATTCAAATTCTAGCTATTGCTTTTCTCTAAATGTTTGAGTTGTGTTTGGTATCGTTTTTAGTGGTTAATAGTTTTCTAGTTGTAATTTAATTATTTGGATATGATACCTTGTCACTTGTAAATTAGATACTTAAATATTAAATTATAGTTTCTGATAAAGAACTTTTGTTAACAATGCAATGCCACTGAGTACTATTTTGCTCTTTTGGCAGAGAAGGCTTTTTTAAAAACACTTGGTCCTTTTACTTCTCTCCCTCAATTCAGAATCAGTTCTCATTTTCATTGTAAAAGCAAAGCAAAGAGCTGGCAAGTTTTCTTTTGCCAGTTCCTATTTAGTAATTGGTGCCTGCCCAATCCATCTGTTACTGTTTCATTTAAATACTTCTTGAATTAGAAATGAAATATTTTTTATTCATTGATGATAAGTTCCCAAATAGCAGTGTCTGCTGTTTAACTTGAGATGAAGGCACAAGACACATTCATTCCTGGTCTGTGCTAATTTGCGGTAGTAAGCAACTGAGAAAATAAAATAAACTTCACTGTCTGAAGTCAACGTAAATCATGAGGGGATTAAATTTGGTGAGTAAAGTTCGAGTATCTTCGCACTTTACTTTAAGGATCTTCAAGAAGATATTGAAAAGTCTGGAAAAGTTTGGCTAAATCTAGGTAATAAACTATATTTTTGTGATTTACAAAATTTCTTAGTACAGTTCTGCATAAAAATGACATTAGAAGACCAGGAGGAAACTTAAACATGTCACAGAATTGCTCCTATTCTGTCAAAGGATCAATCCCCAAGTCTGGGTATTTGGATATGTGTGAGTCGTTTGGGAATATTCTGTTCTTCTTCTGAATGCATTGAAATTGTGTCCTCACCGCTCCATTGAATTCAATTTAAAACGAGAAAGGCTCTTTTCTGAAAGACTCATTTCAGGTCTTTCTCAAGAATAGTAAACACATTAAAAAAAGGTTGTAATATTTCAAAGGAAAGTTTTGCCTATTTTATTAAGATGGAAATTTCTTTTAAGGCTGATTTAAAGTCCAACTGCAGTTTTTAATCAATATTTTAAATTTCAACCACTAGAGATTTTTATGATGCAAATAATTATCTTGTCTGAAAGATGTGGTTTTATTGAATGTCTATTTGCGTAACATTTAAAACGTATTTACCTTTTGCTGTTCATCACTTCTCCTGTTTTATTATTATCAATGTTTATCTATTTTTCCAATTAATTTAATACAATTTATAATGTGAAAGACATTTGTCTGGAACCCACTTTCACCTTATAGGCTAAATAGATCTCAAATGAAGACATACCGCTTAGTAGGAAGGTGGACATTTTTTCATTTGTGTGATATTTTGAGTTTGAATAATTATGCCATTTTAGGTAAAGGATTGCTCACCAACACATAGACATCGGGTATTAGAGGGATTGCATAAGTGGACTTGCCCATTTATACATTTGTCTTTAATCATAATCCCGCTATTTTGAGTATATTGATGCATTCCAAAAGGTTCCTAGAACTCCAGTAGCAAGCTTTCCAAGTGACATTTTCCCCTTAATGTTAAAAAAAAAAAAATCAAGCCAAAATGTAAAGTAAAACAGGTAAGCTGTATTAAATCATCCACGGAGAAAAACACATAATGTTTTGAACCTATTTGGAAAGGCAAAAGTATTGTTTCACTAATTCCCTCCATGGAGGTCTCTAACTCAACACTTACAGATTAAGAAGCCCCTGCTGCTCTGTTTGAGTTTCCTGGCAGGACCAGTGAGAAGGGTGCTCATCTAACCTGAATCTCAGCCCTGAGAGGAGCCTCTTCTGATTGGGTATTTAGCACAGACATCATTCTAATGGGGAGTCTTGCAGAGGTCAGTTGTAGACTTCTTATATGACTTAAATATTGATCTTTACTATAAGGAGAATTGTTTAAGCCATTGTCCTCAAATGGTGGGCACCTGGGATGGATTTGCTCTCAAATCTCATTAAGACCATATGGCTTCTGTAATCATGTATGAAATACTTGGTTTGTCTCTCCTCACATGCCCCCCACCTTCACATCTGCAGCAATGAGCACTGCATAAATAATGCTGACTCCTCAGCTCTGCTCCATCTTTCACTTCCTGTTCTGGGGATTCTCTGATGCTGCACTTGTCTGTCTGCTGGAACCAATGGACTCATCCCTCACACACTTGAAACCAATACAAGAATCTTAATGCCTCATTAAAACCCAACTAAGACAGGAGCAAACAACTATATGTTCCTCTTTTTCTTCTTTCAGACATTCTACATGGTCCTTGGAAGGGCCATGAATCTCAGCTGCCCACACCTGCATACTTTTCCAGTTCTCTTTCACGTTTCACTCTTCTCAGTCCCCAGCACCTGTTTTCTAAAATCATCTCCCTAAGCAAACCACACGTGCATCAGCTGTTGAGTTGGCTCTGCTTTCTGGGCTAGTCCCTTATTGCCACAAGTGCTTACCATTTTGACTATTATAGGACTAGGAAATAAAGTGACAATAAAGAATTGCTTTCATTCAAGTTCCAATAAGCTGTTTCTATTTAGAATTTATTAGACTCTTCCTAAGTACCAAGCATGTGCTCAGTGCTTCATGTTCATTATTAAATTGAATCTTCTCAACATGCCCTAATACTATCCCCATTTTACAGATAAGAAACTGAGTCTCAGAAAAGAATGTAACTTGGCTAGCATTTACATAACTAATGGGTAAATAGTCTAAACCTTAGCTTCAGCTAACATAGAAGCTCACATTCTCGGCCATTATTCTCCTCAGCAATCCTTCAATAAGCAGGGATTTAACCCATGTTCACCCATGTAAGAGTGGAGTCTGAGTAGTTAAGCATATAGCTCCAGATATTTTTGAGAGCATTTGATAGCAGTATACTAAAAGTTAAATAACAGCCCAGTGTAACATGGTAGCTACATGGAAGGTACAAGAATCCTCTAATGTCAAGAGACTGTATCTGTTGGAGCTGCGAAAGAGTTATTCCTATTCATGGGAACGTTTGCCCAGAAATCCACAGCTGTGTCTGGGAAGTCATTAGTAAAATCACTTCCTCTTGCAGTATGCCAGTTATATTCCAAAATTATTCCTAGAGGCATTTAAAGCAGTATATTGATCAAAGCGTCAGACTTGTAAACATGATAAGATCACCCGGAATTCAAACACTGCAAATCCAGAAAGCATGTTGTGATATTTAAAAGCTTCACTGACATCCACAATCCTATTTACAATTCAACTTAGGAAAATTTGCATTACCTCACAATTTTCTATCATTATAGGCCATAGAGTTTATTGACTACTGATCAGACCCATTCTCATTTCTCTTGGCAATATTTCAGCAATTTTTGAAGAGAGAGGCTGCAAATTCAAAAATCTTTTCTCTCATCAGAGGCAAGGGTGGAAGGCTTTTTAAAAAATTAATAAGTCATATCAAAGAACAATTTTGATTATTTTTCTATTAGACTTCTAATCAAATTTAAGATAGTCTGATACTAGCATGACAGGCTTTTGATATAGTATCTTGATTGCAAGGAGTGTCTATGCTGATGACTATATCTGTCCTTTTCTACCAAGCCTAGCACCATTTTAACTAAGTAATCACTGGCATAATTACAGTTTGCAAATACAGAATTTCAGACTGCCAACTGATATAATAAAAGCCTAAGTGACCATTATGGCGGAACGACCAGATTGACTGGTCGCTATGATGTGCACTGACCACCAGGGGGCAGATGCTCAATGCAGGAGCTGCCCCTGGTGGTCAGTGTGCTCCCACAGGGGGAGTGCTGCTCAGCCAGGGATGGTGAATGCAATGGCCTTGGGGGGAGCCTCTCCCACCCTATGGCAGCACTAAGGAGCACTAGCTGAGTGGTAAGGGGCAGCAAGCAGGCAGGCAGTAAGGAGCTAGGAGTCACGGACTATGAAGGAATGTCCCAGACTCTGAGAGGGCGCAAGCTGGGTTGACAGACTCCCCCCACTCACACACACACACACGCACACACACACACACACACACACACACACACACACAGTGCAATAATTTCTTGCACCAGGCCTCTAGTAGCATCATAGATGAAGAAATCAGGATTTAGGGAGGTGAAATAACGTTCCAACAGGGTTACACAGTGTATAAATGACAGAATCGGGATTTGAACACAGACCATGATGACCCCGAAGTCCTTGCACACATCTATGATTACAATCTATGATTATTTTAGCTGGTGAATTTCTAAGGTTCATTGTGCTCATCTTTAGGTTAGATTTAACATTCAAGTCCTTTCCTGTGTCACCATACAGTAATCATCTGGTTCAATTGCTAAATGTAAGCTTAAAAGTGCTTTAAATACTAGTGACCCAATATGTGGGCAGTTTGGACATCACTCAGAGTTTACCAGAAACACAGACTCTCAGGTACCACTCTAGACCTCCTAAATCAGAAACTTAATGGTAACAAGGTCCCTAAGTGGTTTGTATGCACAGAGTGAAAAGCAATGGCTTATGTGAAAACAACCTTCATTTACTCACATCGAAATAGAGTTAAACTTGGGTGCTTCTATGGGTGGCTAACAGGTCAATGGGGTAATCAAATTCCAGGCTCCTCCCACCTTTACACTTTTCTAGCTTCAGTCTGTTATTTGTCTCCTTCAATTGGCTTCCAGATCACTGCGGTGTCCCAGGAAATATGTTCTTTCACTGCAATGTCCACATGTAGAGGGGCAACCTATTTCCTTTTATCAAGAAAGACCATTTTCTCCACATATCTTAGACAGAGTTCCCTTCAAGTCCCCTGGTCCAGGCTTCCACTGAAAACTCCTAGCCTGGATATAAAGGAGATTGTGACGTCACACAGCTGAGATCGCCACCCTTCTTAGTGAGGATGAAACAGGAAGGCTGGTAAGAAGTGGATGCCTGCCCCGAAGAGACTGGTATATCCAAACAAAGGCAACAGGGCCCTTCCTGCTGGCATTGCGGCTCAATGCACACTCAAAGCAGTGAGCAGCGAGGGCTGAGGGTTGTACAGAAACCCTTTCTTTGATGGTGTCTTAAGTTTTCTTCCCAGAGGACCTTAAACATCTGACACACCTTTCATTCCTAAGACTTTTTTTTTAATTGATTTTTACACAGAGAGGAATTGAGAGGGATCGAGAGTTAGAAACGTCGATGAGAGAGATACATCTACCTGCTGCCTCCTGCACACCCCAACTGGGGATGTGCCCACAACCAAGGTATGTGCCCTTGACTGGAATCGAACCCGGAACCTTTCAGTCCGCAGGCCGACACTCTATCCATTGAGCCAAATCAGTTTCGGCCATTCCTAAGACTTAATGCACGGGTACCTCCCTCATCTTTTCTTACCTGGGCCCCCCCCCCCCCCCTGCCTCCACACACACACACTTCATCATTGACACACTTTCCACTGCAGGCAAGCCGTTTTGAAATTTGATTGCTCTGTTAACGGTCCCACTTTGCAGGCTTTATTTGTTATCACCCAATTTATAAGGGCCCAAATTGCTAATCACACTGCAAGTTCTCCTGATTGATGGATTGTGGAAGGCCTATTCCAGTGAGAAAAGAAAGGCCTGCTGAGGAAACAGGGTAGCACAGCCTCCCCTGTCACACGCACTTCCAATGGGTGTAGCTCTCCTTACCCTCCACCCTCTGTCCCTCTAGGACAGCATGTGTGACTTTTAATGATCTGCATGGTGTAATTAGATTGTGAGCCTTTGGGGAGAACAAATTGTCAATTTTCTTGCCAAGACAAATGGAAAATTGCAACTTCACAGTTGGCTTCAAATTATGGAATAATTCAAAGATACGCTGTGCTTTCTATGAGCTAGGTACTGTGCAATTTGACACAACATCAGATCCTTCATTTTTTTTTTTTAACACTTAAGCTAATTAACACATATAATGTATAAATGGATATTTTAGTGTAAATGTTACCACTGAGTCATTATTTCCTAAAATGTGCTAGCATATTCAAGGATGTTTAAATTTTAATGGAGTCATTTATAACCTCCCCCACATTGCTGATGCTATTTCCTTGTTTTGTCCATGTCACAAGGCCTCTATGGTCCACCGTCACACTGACAGTTGGTCTGTATGCAGCTTCCTGTCCCACTCTCAATTGTAAGGAAATTTATAGTAAAGCCCTGCTATTTTCTGACAATTATTTCTCCATCCAAATCACCACTGGCAGAGGGACATTGATTTGAAAAATTTAGTTTAGTTTTCTTATTTTGTAGTTTTTTAACAGAAGAAAAGAATTCACATCCTATTGAAATATTCCAGAGAATCTATACTAAAATAGAGAAATATGTAAATTGGCTGGGTGGGGCCACGGCCAAGAGTTCTCAGCCCGCCTGCACCAGGGTTTCAAAGGGCAAAGAGAGGAAGGGAGAGCAGACAGGCAGTTAGGGAGATCAGGCAAAAGAGGAGAGAGCAGATAGGTAGTTAGGGGGATTAAGCCAGGAGGGGTGAGCAGTTAGGGAGATCAGGACAGCAGGGGAGCAGTTAGGGGCACCAGGACGGCAGGCAGGTGAGTGGTTAAGAGCCATTGGTTCTGGATTGCAAGTGGGACCCCAGATTGGAGAGGGTGCACTCTGGGCTGAGGGATCCCCCCCATGCACACATTTTGTGCATCAGGCCTCTGGTCTATACTAATAAGGGGGTAATATGCTAATTAGACTGGACAAAGCAGTGGTGAAGGGGCCTAGGCAGAGGTGGTTAGGGGTGATTAGGCTTGCAGGGGAGAGCAATTAGGAGGATTAGGCCCACAGGAAGATGAACTTTTAGGAGCCAGTAGTCCTAGATTGTGAGAAGGATGTCCAACTGTCAGATTATTCCCAATCCTTGAGTGATTGGGCCAAAATTGACAGTCCAACATCCCCTGAGGGGTCCGGGATTGGAGAGAGTGCAGGCCGGATGGAGGGACCTGCCCCATGCATGAATTTTATGCACTAGGCCTCTAATAAAAAATAAAATGACCTCCTGCCCCTAGCTCACCACCTGATGTTAGAACTCAGTTTTGTATACTCAGCTTAGACCCCAAACAAGTCTTTTTCTTTGTGCTTTACTAACTTTCCTTTCAGTGTGCTTTCCTCATTCCTTAGGCCCAGAACACCATGCCACTGGGATGCTTTTGTTTTGTACCCAAGTTGAAATGTGTTAGTGAAGGGAGTAAAAGTTTTGGTATACAAAATTATATTTTTTAACTTCATCTGTATAATGTGTGGAAATTTTCTTAATTTTATTCTTATTAATTTTTTTTTTATCAAGTTTTATATCTCTGCCGAAACCGGTTTGGCTCAGTGGATAGAGCGTCAGCTTGAGGACTGAAAGGTTCTAGGTTCGATTCCTGTCAAGGGCATGTACCTTGATTGTGGGCACATCCCCAGTAGGGGGTGTGCAAGAGGCAGCTGATAGATGATTCTCTCTCATTGATGTTTCTGGCTCTCTATCTCTCTCTCTTCCTCTCTGTAAAAAATCAATTATATATATATATATATAT